ATATTATTAATAATTTTTAATTTTATTTAAAAAATTGTAAATACTTTTCAAAATTCCAAACAAATTTGCCTGGAATATAGTTTAAAGGATAGTAGTTATACAAGGTTTATATAAATAAAGGCATAACTGTTTAAAAAAAAAAAAAAAAAATTGTTACATTTTAATTTTAATTAAATTATTTATATTTACAATAATTGTCACAGCTGATGCTAAAATTTTGACTTATTTTATTATGAAATTTTAAAAAATTTCAGGCCTTTTCATTAGGGTTTTTTTTTTTAGTGTTAGGTTAGGGTTTGAGAATAAAGTTGTTGGTAAAAAAATATGTATGAATTTTAGTAGATATTATAGATTTAAATTGGAACTCTAAATTTCAGCATCAGCCAATTTTAGTATCAGCCTCTAATGAATGGATTTTAATTATTTGGTTAAATATTTTTATATAATAGATGATTTTAATACTCACCAGAGGTAAAATTTACCAGGGCGCTATATCTCAAAAACATACTAAGTAAATAAAGTCATAGAGTCTAAGTAAAAATGTTAAGAGTCCCTGAAAACCTCATGAAAACTAAAACAGAACCTTATACTGTATCTAATCTACATTGTTATATAAAACTCTTTTTATTCTAAAACTGTACCCTAACTCTAAAACTCTTAGGATGATAAATTTCACCACTGATAAATATTAAATAAATTCTTTAATAATAATAACTTTTGATATATTGGTCTATTTTAAATAATTCTAACAACCACTGAATCTTGAAATATTTGCGTATCAAATAATGACGCACCTCCCAATGGTTAGACATAGATAGACTATGTCCAACCAATCGTTCCTCATTGGGGTCATTATTTGACACGCAAATATTGTGATTGGATTCGGATGATTTTGGGATTGTTAGAATCGTATCTTTATGAAGAACATTTTGGTAATAAAATTGGTTAAAAATAATTACATTTATTATAAAAAATCAAACCGGTGGATATGTAGTACTGCTTATAACAAATAATGATTGTAAATAAAAATTTTATCTAAATAGCTTACTATAGTGCCTCGTATTAAAAGAGCCATTTGAACATAAACAATTGAGTGAATTGAATTTAAGTGATGCTCTACAAATATAATTAACATTCGTAACTATAGAAACGTTTTTATTGAATGTATATCTATTCAAAATAAAACAAAAAAATTTAAAAATTGTCAAAATGGGTTCTTTTAATACGAGGCATCACTATAATGCCAAATAAAATCTTGTAATATTTAATTCCCAAACCTAAATTATGTAGTAATGTCGTAATTCAAATAATAGATTTGGGTAGAATCACTAGTTGACTAATTATAATAAAAATTTTGGCTAATTGATTTTAATGAATTAATACAGTATAATATGGTTACAATTATTAAAATGACAAAAATAGTGGCATCTTGAATTATATATTTACCTTGTAAAAAAATATGAAATTTCTAGAATTTTGGTTTAATAATTAATAGTAATCATCTGAATAGATATCTCATTAACTTTTATTGAATATATATCCAATTCATGTGTTGCGAATAAAAGAAAAGGAATCAGCGACTAATTTTTTCTGCATCATGTTGAAATAATGCAGCGTTACAACCTTCGAATTTAAAATTTATCTAAATCACAAAATATCTAAAATAAAAAACAGGAAAATATTCACACACACCATCGAACCATAAAGCAAGAATTCTTAATGAATAATAAAAAATTTACATAATTAGAATCACAAAGCTCTTGTAATGACATTATTATATATACTAAATACATTAATAAAATGATTGTGAAAACTGATACAAATTGAATGTCTGAAGGCTACCAATCCTCTGTCTCCTTTTTCTTTCTCGTGCTTTATGCCGCAAATAAGGTTAAATTATGTTAGCATTTATTTTTAACGTATATACTACGAACATCAAAAGGAAAGCCAATAATATATAAGGGACACCTACCTCCGTCTTGTTTTTGTAGGCTTAGAACCAGCAGGTGGTACGTAACCATCATCATCGTTGTTATTATTCCTAATGTTGGAAACAATGACGTTTAATGTAAATTATATAAAATCAATAATTTATAATTTTATTTACTTTCTCCGAGCTCTTCGTTTCTTGGGTTGTGGAGGTGCAACTTCAATTTCAGGTTCATCAGCACTTAAGATACCCTCCATATCATTGTTACTAGCTCCTCCTGATGATGGACCTTCCCCACCATCTGTGGTTTCTACAGGGTCTGGTATATTCGCAACAGTATCCTTTAAAAAATCGAATTGTTCGGTTGTCATTATCGTTTTTTTTCTATACATCAAGTATAATATTAGAACGAATTTAAATTTAACGCGATTCGAAATAAAAAGTCTAGAGAGATTTAGAGAGCCAATCAAATTACTTACAAATGAGAAACGGACATCCGTTTTGCATTTCTTGCTCTTGTTTCTTGACATGCATGGTCAATCAAAGACTGCATGAATAATTCTAAAGCTTTTGCTATCATATTTTGAAAAAGAAAGTTTTAATTAATGTCTTACGATCAGAATGAACATACTTAACATTTCATTAAAAATGATAAAAGGGCGCTTCAAATATTTATTAAATACTTACAAATTAGTACCGGTGTGGCTTGCGCAACCTTTCCTACATCCTCATCCATTTGCATGATCTTTTTGATGCGAGCCTTTAAATTCAAAGTGCAATCAATAGAAATTCAAGTCAAACTGATAACAATTTACGAGGACCTACCACTGGAAATTTTGTTTTATACTTCTTTCTCATCATGGGGCCGGATAATCAATAAAAATTAAAAGACTTATGTTAAAGCGCTTTATGTGAAGAAGCTATTCTAACAACTATACGGTTCAACGTCTTGTTGATCGTAATTTTTCTCAAGCAAGATATTAAAATAAAATTGCGTTCTTTTATGAAGACGAACTTTTTATAACTTTCGGGTTTGTTTGTTTTGTTGCATGAATGATATTCATTGAACGTTATCGTTATGGAATAGCAAGTCATGTGATAAATATTACACTTAGCCGATCCTTATGCACGTGTATTTGATTGAAAAAAAATTTTTTTCGATAACGATAACGATTTTTTTTATCGTGCTTTTCTTTCTCGATTTTCAGTTTAGATTATTTTTACCGCATAATAAATGTATGTATATTGTTTATAGCATAATAAGTTCGTATTTGAATATGGGATGTTTCGTTAAGTGCAGAAGGAACAATTATTTTATCACAAAAAATATTCTAAAATAATGATAACAGCAGTCAATGTTTTATTCTATCCAATTGATAGTGTTTACATTTTCCTCTCTAGAAAAATTAGTTGACAATGGCCATAAAAAAATCAAAAAAATCAGCCGAATCTATTAATTCTCGTCTACAACTTGTTATGAAAAGTGGGAAATACACTTTAGGGTATAAATCTACACTTAAAACTTTACGTCAAGGCAAAGGTTCGTGATTAAGATAGTCACTTCGCCAATATCAAATTTGCCTCATTAATAATGATTTACACAAATATAAAAAGGGGCAGGAGCCAAATCTGTTTTTTTGTTTTGTTTTTGGTCTTGGCAAAGATAATCCCTTTTTATTTTGTTATATACTAATTCGAACTTGATATATGGATTGGGTTTGTTATTTAATATGATCACTTAGCCAAACTTGTTATCATCTCTGGCAATTGTCCACCTTTGAGAAAGCATGAATTAGAATATTATGCAATGCTTTCAAAAACTTCAGTACATCATTACGCTGGCAGTAAGTATCTAGTGCTAATCTTTCGGGAGTAGGTCTTTTGTTAATATTTTTTTCTTAAATTCAATAGACAACATTGACCTTGGTACTGCTTGTGGTAAATATTTCCGTGTTGGAGTTTTAAGCATCACAGATGCAGGTAACTTATATTACGATTCTATCTACTATATTTTCGTTATTAATATTTGTAATGATGATAAAATTAAATTCTTTTTATAGGTGACTCGGATATTCTTTCTAGCTCCTCTTCTTAGATTTAAGAACATAGTTTTTAGTAGTCATATACATCTTTTACTATATGATTTTATTACTCACGTATACAATTATGTTATTACGTAAAAATAGTCAAAAATAAAGTGTAGCTCATTTTATTAATTTAAATAATTCTGTTTTCGTCTACTATCATAAAAGAATTATAGCATTTTGACCCAATGGGATTTTCTATAGTATAGATGGGCAAATAAAATTATTATATAATAAATATATAAAAAAACAACTACTTCAAGCTAATTAAACCCTAATCTTAATTAAATAATCCCCTATGCCAAGATCACGGGGGATTAATGAATAATATCCTGATCCATATGTGAATAAGCGTTTCCGCTAATCCCCAATGGATCGGATATTATTATTACTAAACCTGTTCAAATTAGCTAATTTTATCTATTATAATTTTATAATAATTATATTTGCACACTTATACTATAGTTCAACCTTCTCGTCTTCGTTCTTATCCTCGTTTCCACCTTTGTCGTCATCTTCGTTCTTGTTTTTGTCGTCATCTTCGTTTCTGTTTCGTTTTCATCTTCACTTTCGTCCTCATCTTCATCTAACGGCATTAAACATGTTCTGAGTGGCGGTTGTCCTTCTATTCTCTTGAACGCGTACTTGTACATCCTATACCCGCTTTTGCCTATACTTTCCCACCATCTTTCAACTATTATTTAAACCAAGTTCAATTAAATTGTAATTGACATTTACAAATACTTGCCCTTCACTCGGCGCATATTCATTGTCTAAACGGAAGCTCCTATTCGAAATCCATATATTTTAAGATTTAAAAATATGTATACACATACCGGATTATTCGAATGGGTTCGACTACAAATATCAAAAACAAATGCAATGGTTTGACTTAATCTATAATGACAAAAATCAGGTTGTTTACATACTTTTGGTGCAATTCTCAAATTTTTTGGATTAACTTTGGTACCCTTTAAGTCTCTACCACCCGAACCGGTATCCTATTATGCAAATATAAACAAAGTGGTATTGTGACTATCTGATTTAATATATGCACCCCAATCAACTTCATCTTCATATCCCTGCAGTATCAGCCAAAATAAACGCAATGTCAAATAAATGTCAATTAACACATAAATTGCGTCTTTTTATAATCACAAATATTGAACACTATAAACTTACCCCTGACAAAGCAATACTCCACCTCGCGCCACGATATTCCCGCGATAGTCGGTCTAATTTTAAAAATCGATTCACCAAACTACCAAAACGGCATAGATCCATAACCAATTCGACCATAAATTTACGTACGCATAAGCTGCAGAATGACAACAAGCCATTCTTGTTGGCCAACTTCAAATCCAAAATTACCAAATTGATGAGGATCCGGTCGATTTTGGCGCCAATTTGGATCACTCGTGTAGATAGCAGCTTTCGAACCTTTCACCAAGTTTCATCATCAATTTCACCAGGAATGATCATTTAAGTTTTTTGGTGACAGTTTATGAATTAATAAAATATATACTATCTCACATCGCATTATTAATATTTGAATGTTATACTTTTTTAACGAGGCGTCCAAACTAGGGTTCTGCAAACCGGGTCGTGCCCGTGCCTAACAGAAAGCACAGGCACAAAAATTTAACCAGGCATTTTTAAATACATATAAAGATAAAATGCCGGGCACTATTGGCATCTTATTGCCTGGCATTTTGTGCCTATAATAATATACCTGGTATTTTTGCTCCCACAAATAGACACTGTGCCCCGCATGATGCCAATATACCTGGCATAGACATTGCAGAACCCTACCCCAGACCTTTTTACTTTGTCAATAGAGTCGCTACTGGAAGCAATACTGTTCTGGTTCTTGTTAAATCGACGCGATATTTTTCTTTTGTCGCTTGTGATCTTTTTTCTTACTGTCTTTGGTGCTGTAAAAATTGGTGGGGGCCTTTCAAGGCCAAGTTCACATAGAATTTGCTTGTTAACCTCAATATTCGATAGTCTTTGCGATTCGTATTCATTAATAGGCATTTTTCCGAAATTATTGAAAAAAGAAAAATAAGAATAGCACCACTGTAAATAGATTTAAACCAGGTTACGTCTCTTTTCCCTGACGGTCATTTTAAACGCGTAACGCGTGTTTCAGGGGGTTTTATTCTCACTGTCTGATTGGACGATCATATTGCTATCATCTGATTTGACAAAATAATTTAAAACTTTGAGCGAAGATATGTTATCAAGATATATTTGTCTAAAGTTTTAGAAATAATAAAAATTTTTCAAAGTTAGAGCAAAGATATCTTGTTAACCATATGGCAAAATTCAATAAAATTTTTTTGAGTTTTATAATTGAGTAAATTAAAATAATGTTTTTCTTAAAAAAAAATTTAATCAAAAAGTCGCGGCAAAATTTTCTAAACTTTGAGCGAAAATATCTCGGCAACCACATAAACAATTTCAATGAAAATTTTTTTATTTTAATTTTACTATTGTATAAAATCAAAATAAACAAAGCTTTATTGAATTTAATTAGGTGATTGTCAAGTTATCGTTATTTCGCTCAAAGTTTTAATTTTATTAATTCATTCAACAATATGATAGCCAATCAGGTAAAATTAGTAAAACCGCCAATCATTAGCGTTAGTGTTAGAATGGACTGAAATATGCGATGTGCATATGAGAGTGCGTGAGAGTGAAAAACCTGAAACTTATAGTAAATCATTATATCGATATTCAGCTACTCATATGTTTTTGACATCGTATGTGAACAAATGTATATTAATATCTAGTCAATTATATGAGATGAACGTCTTTGTAACAAGCTGTAAATGTTTAAAATTTTATATCAATTCAGTATGATAAGTATTCACTCTCATTTAAAAAATAAAGTGAAATAGTGCACATTTATAATACGCGAAAAATGTATAAGACCGCGGTGTAAGTTATACACTACCAGAGTAACCATCAAAACCAAAACATACCAAAGCTGTTACTTCAGATTATAATTTTACCCGGTGTATGTTACTCCGGATTAATTTTATATTATATTAAAACGTCTTGCTAATTATAGTTTAGAATTTAATATCTTTATTTGCTATAATGCTGATTGTCTTAACAATCTGGAATATCTGAAATGCATACAAACCACACCGGCATGGGGTGGTTTATACTCTTAAATTACTCTGGAGTATAATATTCCATTAACAGCTCTACCCTAGCGTTACCAACTTAAAAAATTTTTTTGTCAGGCAGTTTATAAGTAAAATATTGATTTTTTGGGTTTGATTTTTTTTTTGCGAAATTTTTTAAGGCTAGAATGGTTCTTATATGCACATCGCATAGTCTGGTCTAGGGTTTACCCGGTAGAAATTGCAATTATGTGACATAATAATTTATTCGGATAACTGGGGTAATTCAATAATATCCGGGAGAGATTTTCGCTCTCTTTGTAATGAAATTGATATTTTTGAAAAAAGTTTTTCCGAGAGTTAACACTTATCATACTGAACTGATATAAAATTTAAACCTTTATAAAAGCACAGAATTGACTATGCATATCAAATATATGCCAATCATTTTTCTTACCCTATTTTTAGTATTATCACCGTTTTTTAATCATGATTATCGTAAATCGTATTTAACAGATAAAATGATGAATGAAAATATAATATGTAATGAATGTATCGTAGTGTGAGTTAACTTAGGATAGTTAATTGAAAGTAAAATAAATAAAAAGATTGAAATAATAAAAATTAAATGTATGAACCCAAAATTACGATTATTGTAATTTTTTATTTAATAATATAAGAGTTACGTATTGGCATATCATAAGGCTAATTTAGAAAAACCTTTTTGAAAATGTAATTCGCATTATTTTAAAAAATAAATTTGTAAATCCTAATGTAATACGAAGATCTAAAAACTTAGCTTTCACAAAGTTTTGTTATCGCCTTTTAAAGCATCATTTAAATCAACGGGCAAAACATATCGAATAATATGCTTAGACTAGAATCATTCAAGAAATTTTTTTTTTGCTAAAACAAAAAAGCTCGTTTCTTGTGCAATATTTTATGGATTTTTTTTTGTGCCAAGTTATGTTGATCACTAAATACAAAGAATGTACGTAGCATCATTTTTTTTCTCTGTTAGGATAATCAAAATTCGAACTTACTGTTGTTAAATAGAAAACATTCACAGATCTAAAATTAGCCAATTAAATTGGTTAAAGTGGCAGACAGATAAAATTTTAATAGCATATACAGTATATGTATATGAAATCAAATACAGTATATGACATTGATATTTCTATAATAGCTTTTTTCTATATAAAATTTATAATAATTTATTGAAAACTCCTTATGCGAAGGACTGTAAATTTTAATACGTATCACCTATCGCTACGTATTACGTATACGTACGATGCATGTGATTTGAACAATTCACTAAATAAGAAAATGTCAGACTAATTTTTTAATACATACTGTAATTTAAGTTTATTATTATTGTTATTATTACGTAAATATTATTATTGATCTATAAATATATATTATTACGATTGTATATTATATATTAATAAAGAATTTAGAAATTCAAGTAAAAAGCCGCTGAACACAAAAATAAACCAATGTATATTAAATTATCGACAGCTACGCTACGGAGTGAATTTCCTGCAGAAGGAGTTAGAGCTGGACTAGAAGGGGTGGGTGAACTACTACCACTAGGAGCATATCCAGTTGGGGCAGTGTGACTCCAACCATAAGTAGGAGTGGCAGTAGGAACGATAGCAGCAGGACCGGTGACAGTAACAGAAAGACCGGTAGGATAAGAAGAACCGGTAGCAGGATTCTCGGCAGAGGGTTCGGCAGAGGGTGCAGCAGTATTACTAGGTGGTTTTTTGGTAGCTGAGAGATCTACGGTAGGGGCGTCTTTACTACTTTGTGTATAAGTTGCTATTTTTGGAAAATAGATACATTAATACGTAATGACGAAACTTGAAGAAATGTGTGGATTAGTTGCTTAAATGTAAGAACTTACTTGCTTTGACAAAAACAGAGCACGATAAAACGCTCAGCAGGCATAATGCCAAAATCAAGTTTATCTTTGAAAAGTTCATCGCGTTTTATTGAATTGACACGAAAAAATTATTAAAGTGATTTTGTTACTAATTGCAGTAAAATGAATTAACTTTTGAGAGACTAGGCTACTTTTACACCAAGCTTTATAGTTTAAATTGTAAGTAGACTTGTGGGAGATGGAAAGTAGAAATTATAGCCTTTTTATACAAATATTCGCGAGTGGATAAATGAATTGCGTGTAACGATCATCATCGGAAAGTGTAGATATTCACATTGGAAAGTTTTAAATTCATAAATTCATTAAATCCATTATGTAATTCTCATATTAGAATTTCTTGTGGATATTAAAAATATTAAAAAGAACGTGCTCCCTGATGTTAACGACATACAGATATAGTTCTTGAATATACAAATTAGGATGTAATAAGAGGCCGATTAGGAATTTATCCTATTTTTATACTAATCGCGAGTTTCCATACAAAATATAATGATTGACACTAAATTATTATTAAGATTATTCAAATGTTACGACCGAAACTAATAATAGTCTATATCGATACATTATTCTCTCAAGCGATGTATAAAAACCTTTCTTCATTAAAAATTTTAATGATCTGCTGATACGATATTACTTAATCCATGTGATAATTATTCTTACATTATTTCTATAATAACGAATAACGGATAACATATAAGGTGTACAAGACAAATTGATCTCGTATAATTTCTTAAATATGTTGAAAATTACTACGATCATAGGTTATCGCACTTCATGGGTGAATTTTCATACGATTGGTTAATTTATGTCAAGTAAAAAATTTTTATATATTTTGAATGATAATTCTGTTCTATTCTCAGTTATTACAACCTTTACAAGAGATACATTATAATCCTCGGTTCATATAATTAATAAAATAAATATTTACTAATCGCTGCTTAGCAAAATCATGTATACATTTTATATATATATAATATTAAATTTATATGAAAAATAAGTGTGTATAAAACTTTTCAAAATTTTCAAAATTTATTAACAATCAATCTTCTATTTTAACTAGTACTAGCAATTAATAGTAAAATATACGCTTTTAAGTGAACTTTGGTTACTAATTTATTTTTACATAATCTAAATAGAAATGATATTTTTTAATAATAAAACGTTACGTTTCAAAATGTACATACGTACTTTAAAACGTAGCTACCCGAATTGTGTAAATAAGTTACCTAGATACATCAACTGGTCGATCAAACAAAGGTCCACCTATGAACTAATTCTTGTGTCAGATAATCTATCAACTTCTACTAAAATTTTTAATGTTTATTTAATAAAATCATAATCCGATCTTTTAGTTTCTTCAAATAGAATAACCTTTTACATACCGATATACTACCGACATATAACTGTCCGCAGTCGCGTAATATTCGGAAAAAAACACTAGATAATGTAGCGTTTAGGACAGTGCAAATTCATGTGATTTGTTAGAATTAATAAACCTCTCACTACGTAGATCCCCGGGCTATCATTACGGACTCTAAATCCAGGATTATGATCCGAATAATCTAACAATAATTTACCTTACTGAACGTATTAACTAGTTTTTACATTATCTTTAAAGAACTTATTCGTCAATATAATAATCCCTCGTGATCTTAACATAGCGATCGGGGGATTATGTAAATAACAGCCACATCTAGGTACCAAATTAAAATGTTTAAATTATATATAGTAATTGACAAACTTCTCCCAACAAAATAATCACTCCTTGATTACCGTTAATCTATTGTGAAAAATAGTCAATTTATGTGTTTTATAAATATCTAAGAAAATTAACGTTAATTTTATGAAACAATTTAAAATTTTGTAACAGGGTCAAACCCGAACCCACCCAAACCGAGTAAAATCGGTGAATATCATAATAAAATTACGTAACAAGGCCGAACCCGAACTCGATATCTATAAATTGCATTTATGTTGTAAACTCGACTCGAATGACCCTTCGAAACATTAGTTATATGTCTAATTTTTGGTTTGAATTGAACATATAGAGTTTTATATGCCAAAAAATGTTTAATTCATGCAATTTTTGTATGTCCAATTAACAACTTTGCTCTTATCGTTATTTGTATAATTATATTATTCGGCATTTTCTATTTACCGGATTTTTATCGTTATGAACACACGTTGATCCCAATTATTTTAAACCTCGTACCATATATCCGGACAACAATGTGAATTCACGTGCATGAATTTGAAATGAAAATCCGAATCCTGATTTTTTTCCGACAAAGTTTCTACTAAACAGAGTCTATGAATCTGCAACCGGTGAGATTAATAAATACGTATAATATCATTATCCGGCAGCTTACTATGGTTTGTCTGCCAAATAAATGCTATCAGGTTTATTCAACGTCTTGTTTTTGTTTTTATTGTTTGGAGCGTAACGGAGGATCAATTTTCGTGCAAATGATCGTCCTTGATATATTTTTAATAATAATATCAAAAAACTTAACTTTGAGTTTTGTCTGTCGTTATGCAATAGTAATCAAAGTTACGCTTTTTGATATTTTATTAAAGATGCATCAAAAACGATCATTTTGCACGGAAATTGAGTCCTCCATTATGCTCCGAGCAATAAAAAAAAAAAAAAAATGGCATTGTTACTTTAAAAAACATGCTAAAACAAACCTGGCAAATAAATTTTATTTATGTGGGTCTGCTGGTTCATAAGTTATTGCAGTTTGAATTTTATATGTTTTTACTATTACACTCGTTGATCTATAAAAAAAATCTTATCATCATTATAATATATATACCTGCATTATGTTTGTAATTAGACCAATATAGAATAGTAATTAATTAATATATATATATATATATATTATACGTATAATAACCAATTTTTAATTTTTTTATTATTATTATTAACTCGAAAGTCCCATCACTAAATGAATATAGCTGATTATGTATATTCTAATATAATAATGATAGGTAACGGAAAATTTCCGATTACTAAAAAACTGCGCCAGTATCTCCGGCATTTTACAGTAGATTTTGTGCACTGTTACAATTTTTAAAACCTAAAGCAGGGATGGTAAATAATTTGAAATAATAAAATGACCCATTAGGTCATTTAACATTTGAGATAATAAGTTGCTAATCGGTTATTTGAATCGGACATGCATATTGAGGTTATTTAGTCATATTAAATTAATACTGGGGGTATAATGACGCAGGTGGGTATTGTGACGCATCATGTTTTTTGACGATATCTCGCGATACATTGATCGGAATCGAGTAATTTGGTATCGTTCGATTCGTCTTACTGAGATGAATCAAATAAAAAAATTTTTTGGTTCTAATTGAGGATATAAATAAAAGTCGGCATTATTTATGATACTGTAGTATTAAGTTTCTTTTAATTTTTATAATACAGTCCGCCGATATTCCAAATTAGGACAATGCAGATCACACCATTTATGGTATAGATATGCCGATCAGAATATTCCAGATCACGCGAAATTTTGTGTTACCGGTACATGAGATACGTACGTATACTGTGTCTAATATGTATGTCAAACCCTAGTTTTTATACTCGTATTTTTTTATTCGTGCTATTCATAAAATGTTTAGCACATACTTATTTAAAGTAAGTACATATTCACAAAATATTTATTTAAGTTATCAAGTTGATTAGCATTTAATTTATTTTCGGATAAGTCTAATTGTAATAACATGTTCATAGCAATCTCAGAATATTAAGCCGAATCCAATAAAAATTTTTATTAAAAAAATAAAAAGAACAAAAAATATATATCTAAAAATACAAAAAAAAAATTTAAATTAACTATCATGCTATGTTCTGAATCTAACTATCGTGCTACATCCCAAATTTAATTATTGTACTATGTCCCAATCTAACTAGCATGCTATGTTCTGAGCCTTATTATTGTATGCATCTCGGATCTAACTATCGTGCTATGTTCCAGATTTAACTATCATGCTACGTTCCGTTCTAACTATCATACTATATCTCACTCTAATTATTGTCTATGCTCTTTTTTATATAAACCTGTAAATAAGATCTCAATAGATTAATAAACTATATGTTACCTCAAACTAATTAAAATATTGAATTAAGAAGCTTAGTATAATATTATATACC